TATTTCAGATCGCCTGTCTTCATTCTCTGACAACAAGAATACGCTCTTTGGTGCACTGTTTGCGAATTTGAAACACATCTCACCGGTCATTGATAGTGTTGAAAACTTGGTTCACTCAGTTACATTCCCACCTTTACAAGCAAGTACAGTGTCTGACTACTGACTAGATGACAGGTATTTGAACCCCGGCAGGGGCAAAAGTATCTTTCCTCTAGCGTCTGCGTCCAGACCGGCTCTGGGACTCGCCCTCCTATTCAGTGGGTACCAGCAACATAGCGAGGACGTGGGTATGACCCTGACCATTTGTCTCTATCTAGCGACAAGGTCAAGAATCTGTAGGAGCTATACAGAATCTCCCTCCAAGCGCTGCCATGGCGTGTAGCAGGGGAGTGTTACTTTTTTACGTAGAGATGTTAATTATCTATGCCTTGTAAGTTTATTTTCCGTATTTAAAATATATTCCTCTTACATTTCTGATGAATACGTTTTATCTGTGTTTGGTACAAGGTGGCTTGTTCTATGGCCCTAATTATCTGGATTTCATTTATATTTTCTTCATTTATTCTCTATTCCAATTCATTATTTCAATTGTGCAGCCATGTACTCGCATAGTAAGCTCTCTTATTGTTCTTATTTTGTTCTTAGCATTCAATTCAGGTTTTAATAAAAGATAAGAAATCTCAGGACACCAGTACTTCGTCTCTCATTGTATTCCAATTTTCCTTTTATCTTGCATTTTCTCATGCTGGTTATCTTTACCTTTTAAAATACGCATTTGCCATTCCTCTTTCAAGTTTCCTTATTAGTGTACCATTGTCTACGAATCAATTCTAAGAGTTTTTGAGTTTTGTTGTTCTAAACACAAACTTTTCCGCTCGTGTGTGATCCAAATTCTAATCGGAAATTCTCTACGAAGTTCCCCCACGCTGTTAAAATGTGTTTGTGTGCATATTTTTATGTTTCTATTTGTTATATTTTCCGCATTTTAGTATATTATATATGACCGAAGATATCTGATAGGTCAAATCTAAAACTTCTTGACGATGGTGAAGAGTCAATTGAATAAAATTTTTCTTGGATATTATCCATCGTCTAGTAAATATAAAACGTAAAACGACGATGGATAATATCCAAGAAAAATTTTATTCAATATCTGATAGGGACTGGGAGACAGGGTTTCAGTTCCCGGACGGGACATTCGCCATTGCGTCCAGAACGACTCCGAATTCCACCCTCATTCCAATAGGGTTTGTGTGCGGTAAACTCTTTCAACGAGGGGTAAATCATTAGGGGTATTAACCCCTTGAAGCCGAAGTTTTCCTTCATGATTTAAAATAATTCAGTTTCTATCTGGAAAAAACGCCTCCGTTAGGAAGAAGAATTTGCTAACGCTGTTTAAGGAATTAATCGCTGTTTATTCTGATAATCATCCGAAACCCGTCAATAAGCTGTGCGGGCAGAATGTAAGTTATTGATTATTAACGTTGGTGGTACGTATCATTACCACCGGACTTTAAAGCTTTAAGTTGACCACCGATCATAATCTGATGTTACCCAAGGGGTTATTAGTAATCCGCCCAACCCGCGACTTGAAAGACCACCTCTTGTCGGCTGTCCGTGACTGAATATTCATTATACGCTCAGCTACCCTATTTGTAATTTTCCGATTTCTTCAGATCTAATAATCGTCGTTTGCCTGGACACGTGGTTTCTCAGTGAGTCGTCAAGAGTCACTCAGGCGAGGCCCGTTGAAAATGTTTGAATTTAACGTTCAGTGGCTGTGAATTTGTCTTAGTGTGAGTGTGTGTGTGTGGGGTGGGAAAGGGAGGTTTGGATTTGTGTTTTCCTCAAAGTGTATGACGTTATGCTTTGCATTAATGCCTCGAAAACTTGAAGCGGTGGCATTCTCTATCCGTAGTTGGAAAACTGCCCCAGGAGGTTCTGGTTAGGTGGTAGGAGGGGAACAGAACCCTACAGTTTCTGACTATAATGGACTTCTTTTTGTATTTATTGAAACCGTAAGGGGTGTAGAATATGCTTGAGTATGTGTGTTAGTTTCTGTGCTAGGACGGTGGAGGGGCGTCGGATAAAGTCAGGAAAGCGTGTTAGGTATGAGAGGATGGTTGGGCGTAAAATATACATCGTAAATGTCGAAAGTTTGGTTTGGTGAGAAACTAAAGGGGGGGGGGGGGGGGGGTGTAGGGTAGAGACCCTGTAGAGGAGAAGGAGGGTTGTATGGGTAGGTGTTACAGGAGGATCTTTCCGTCTGAGTCCCCTAACGTTTAAATAGAACAACGTACTGATTATTACTGGTTTCTAGTACGCACCAAAGAGTTGAAACAAGAGTTCGGCTGAGCGAGAAATAACTAGGCAAAAGGGGTGTTGGTGGGGGTTAGTTTCAGAGAATACCAACTACTTCACTTCCAATGTGGTAACGGCGATAAATTTTGCATGGACTCGAGTGAAAATCCTATCGAGAGAGAGAGAGAGAGGGGGGGGAGAGATATGAAGTGGTAGGAAAAAGAGGGTTGAGAGAGTAAGAGAAGGTTAGAGCTTGTAGATGGTTTGGAATGGAAAGTACTTACAGGCATATCAAACTCTGAATATCAGGGTGAGAAATGTCTGGAGAAAATGGGGTTAATGCGAGTAATGGGGTTGGTTGAATTGAACTGATTATTTCCTCTGAGAAATAAAAATAAAAGTAGCCTAAATTTAAGTTGCGTATAACACCTGCTTCTTATTCGGGAGGTCCAGGTTCAAATGCACAGCCCAGAGACTGGCAATCCTGACTGGGGTTTTCGTGGTTTTCCTCAGTTCCCCTAGGCAAATTGGGCCACGACCGCTTCCTTCCACATCCTTTCCAATTTATATAGTCTGAGGTACTGAAAAGCGTCGTTAAATAAGTATGTATTGGGAACTTTTTTAAAATTATTAAAGTTCTTGCTTCGTATATTCAGCACGGTGACAAAATTCAATCAGTCTGTTAATAAGTTACGACCCGCATGGATTAAAGAACCGAGGTGACCTTCAAAGGGCTTTTGGAGATTTGAGGCCGGAAATTTTCAACAAGTGGCAGAACTCGACTGTTAAAGGACAATGATGATCATAATCATGACGTAGCATAACCTAACCTAACCTAACCTAACTAACCTAACGTAACCTAACCTAACCTCACCTAACCTAACCTCACCTCACCTAACCTAACCTCACCTAACCTAACCTCACCTCACCTAACCTAACCTCACCTAACCTAACCTCACCTCACCTAACCTAACCTAACCTAACCTAACCTAACCTAACCTAACCTAATCGCAGGTTTGTACTCTGACTTGTTGAATACTTTCTACTTTCTAATAGGCGTATTTTCATCGTGTTACTCTCTCCCATGCTCTGTCGTCTTGTGTGAGATGATAGATCCGAAGATTTGGGGTTCGAATTATGCTTGTTTCACTGTTTCCTTTAGTATACTTAAGTAGTTAATTAGAAAGATTTCATATTAAGTATCACGATGGTATGGATCGCTACTATAACAACAGTTACCCCACTGCTTAAAATACTGCCAAATGGGTCAAATATAAATCTGAAATTTTTGGTTTGTAATCTGTTTGCCATGTGATGGTTCATTACTCAAACTTTATCTGAATCCAATTTAAATTTCATTACAGTGATAACCTCTGCTTTTCAGGCATTGACTTTACAAATTAAATTGACTTTTTTCTATGCTGTTTCACCCCAAATTAGCTTCGTAAAATCGCTTCTCAAATTCAAATCTCCATACGTAATCCAGAGTCTGAGCTACGCTTCGGATATTCAAATCTTGAACAATGGAAAGTTGATAAAATTCTTTCTGCATTCATTATTTCTGTGTCCCCCTTTCTTGCTTTGATTCCAGTGTTCCCTACCCGTAATTGATACATGTATTGCTTGTTTAATTATTACTTTCCCCTGTAGGCATTAGTTCTCGTGAGTACCGCAGAATAATATGTGTATTTGCATGTTGTGTACATAGTTGTTAGCAAGAGTTGAGTTTACATTGTAGTTGAAGGTATTATGTGTTATCATGTATTAAATCCAAAATCGGCTTTTATAGTAGGCGTAGTTGCAAACCTTGATATATGAATTCGGATTACATGGCACTGTTTAGTCTCAAGCAGAATCAGATATTCTGTTGGGTGAAATACAGGAATGAATTTGTTTTTTAATGATACTCTAAAAATAAGTCTCTATTTAAAGTGGAGGAGTGGCAGGTAGCGAAGTGTTGCCTGTGGAAGTCTATTTATAATAATAGAAATTGTGAATGAAATTTTATTGATCATTTTTAAGAATTTTTTTCAGAGATTTCTACAACTTAAATATCATAAATTGTAAACTTACCTGTATCAGTAATTCAGATTCGGTATGTATTAGCCGTTTAACAAATAACAGACATAAATTAAAAGTTAGTCTTAATTATTACTGCAATAGGGGAGACTGTGTCTATGTGGAAATGTCCATCCACCTCACGTCAACATCAGTGAATATGAACTAGCGAATATCAAATCTAAAACTTCTTGACGATGGTGAAGAGTCATTTGAATAAAAATTTCCTTGGATATTATCCATCGTCTAGTAAAAAATGGGATGGAGCCAGGGTGTTATTAACAGAACCTAATACCGTCTACGGGAAATACAAGGAGGCGGCACACTTGCCAATCCTATCAGCCAGCCTAGTTTGGATTTATCTCTCATGTGGATTCCGGTCATCTCTGAAGAAGTCCAAGTTGTGCATCGAGTTTTGAATTAATGTTTATATGTATTTATTCCCACATTTTGTGAGTTTTTGTTTTATTTGGCTTTATCGTGTTTAACGAATTTATTTCTACTATTTATTCTCTTACGTCCCACGGATGGATGGTGTGGTGATGTCTTTTTATTCCGGGACTTTCACTTTTTTACTTTGTCCGGAGATAGGGATTAGCTCTATCTAGTGGGCCCAACTGTGTAGGAACCTGACGGAGATAGAGTCCCATCTCCGAAACGTCGTTTTACGTTTTTTATTTTTTACTAGACGATGGATAATATCCAAGGAAATTTTTATTCAAATAGCGATGGAATGACATTACAAGGAGAATATCGAAGGACTTTTTTTAAAAAAGAAAAAACCTGTCCATTTGCAATTACGAACTGTGGTTGTGAAAATCCGGAAACTTACCACCTGAACTAGGGCACAGCCACAACGGGACTGGACAAAAAAAAGTGATGATTAGTTTTCATCGTACTGAGCAATGAATTGTAACCATGGAAACGTGGCCTTGATTTACATATGTAAGTAAACTAAATTAAAGGCGGTTTGTATGAAATGGCGAGGGCTCTTTAATACATTGAAGACTGTGTTGTTTTACGTACTTATTACTTTCAACTGTGCGCGTAAGCAAAGTCCACACAAAGCACATACATTTCAATGGCAACAGCCATGAGGTAGTTAACACGCGCGGGGATCTACTTTCTGATGACGGCCGTACGAGGAGCCAAAGGATTGATGCCAATCGGATGCCCGGCGTTATAGGTCGAACGTCGGTAAACGCGAATATATAAAAGATAAGTGTTCAAATATTATAGTAATCAAACTAAGATGGATGTAATGTAAGAGGAAAGAGTTGTATACAAAATTTTAGCCGAAAACCGAACAGGAGAGACAGCGTGAGAGAAGTAGGCATAAATTGGAGGATAATATTAGAATGGATATTGAAGAAATAGGATGTGAGGCTTTGGATTAAGTTTAGTTCAGGATAGAGGCTGGTTTGTCTGTTCTTAAATCGGTAAAGAAACTTTGTTTTCCCAAAAAACTGTGGAATTTCGTAACTTTGGCTTCTCAAGTGTATATAAACATGAAGTCACCTATTGGTTAATATCTCTTGCAGAAATGTAAATACATATTTGTAACTAAACAATATTTGATATTAAAAATATGTATGTACTGGTAAGTTATAGAATGGCGTTAATTGATATTAACTCACATTATCGTACCATATTAACCCAATAAAGTCTATTGGTAACCGTATGTACCTACTTTGACAATCAATAAATTTGCTTTACTCCCACAGAATGTGTCTAATTTACGGGTTCCCTGTGATTCTCAATATAATCAGCAATCATTTCCTTAAACAGCGTTAAGCAGTTGATCTTAAAGCGGTAAATTGTTTTCTTCGCGGTACGGACTAAATTCTTAAAGTTATTTAGATGAGTTTCATGCTTCAAAAGGTTAAGTTTCTTACACAGGCGTCTTACGATCGCAGAACTGCAGAGTAGGAAAATTAACGATTATAACGGACTCAGCGTTTCGTGTACATCCGGGATGCTGAGAGAATTTGTCTTCAGCAGACGAAGGGATAGGTAAACGAGAGATTCACAATGAGTTCGCGAACTCATCCTTTGCCATTGTCATTAAAGAGGCACAAGACTGTAAAATTCGCAGATACGTCTGTCCAACGGTGGTTGAGCTGAGGAAATGAAGAAAGCGTGTGGGGGGGTGGGGGGAGGAGGAGAAGGAAGCAGACAGGATGAAAGAAGTGGCGATGGTTCTAGATAGAACACATCATATCCAGTGAGGAGCGCTCGGCAGAAAGAAAAATAGATGAAGACGTACTTGAAGGCACCACATAATGATATAAAGAACATGACTAGTGTTAGAAAGAAACTGGTGGGAAGGGTCGCAACCAAAAATGCCTCACTTTCAGACATCAAAGAGAAGTAAAAACTTGTCTTGGAGCATCGCCACCTCCAGTTTCCGACAACAGGATAGAAAGGAATTCTGAAATAAGGAAGAAGAATTCCATCCCCCTCTCCTCAAGTGGTCCCTTTACTAAGATCCAATAAAACACCAGACAGATGAATGCCAAGGTTCATTACTTCTGTTGCCAAAAAAAAAAAAAAAAAAAAAAAAAAAAGGCCGTCTGTAAATGTACTAAGATGGAGTTACGACTTTTTTGTATCTTGAAGGACCTGAGGCTATTTGGATCAATCTGAGATAATGTTAAAATTATCTGTTTCAAAGAAAATAATACGCTGTATTTCAGTCTAAAGAGAAGATTGATTGTTTGCTTTTCTTATTCTTTTGAGAAAAGTAAATTGAAATTTCTGTAGATTATAAACTCGACTATCTGACTTATAAAATATTATTGTAACTTAAAATATGTTACACAGGATCTAAGGATACATTTAAGCAAAAAAATCGTATGTATGAGATTTTTGCTTTACTATTAATTACCGTGTTGATAATATATCCTGAAATGTCTTATTGTCTGATTACAGTGTTCCTTTGTGTATTGAGCGGATGGTCCTCCTTCGGAACTGACATAACTCCGCTAGTTAAGAAGTGCCCGCAACTTTTACGGAGCCCGAAGGTTCTGCCCGCAAATGGACTCTGCCCTCAGTCAGGTGAGTGTGCATCCGCACACCATTTGTCTTTAGAGATCGCTGTAACTATTTGAATCCGAATATCTACGTAAATGACATTTATATATTAAGTCCATACCGCAAAGAAAACACAGCACTTCACCATTACGAAGATCAACTGGTTAACGATGTTTAAGGAAGTAATAGCTATTTATTCTGATAATGAAACGAAACCTGCTTATACAGCCTATGGACAAAATTAAGATTTATTTCCGATCATAGGAAGTTAAGAGTAAACGTTTAGCTTGGCATCCAGTGGCATAACGTCAGTACTAATTTTCATCTAAATCCATCCAGCGGTTCTCTCGTTTAATCTTGCGGATAGACGAATAGACAGACATGTCCAGCTCACTACGTATACGTTCATTTCGTGCACATTTGAAAAGAACACGAAATAACTATAGTTAGTTGTACAATAAATAAACATCTCCCTTTTCACATTATTTTTAATACCATGATAAATTGAATATTTATAAACGTAGGATTCGAAGTATATTTATGTAAATGCTGCATACGAACAGTGGTATTCTGGAGGTAGAAATGCTAATATGACGTAATTAAATTACTGCATTACGCTTAATAACTTTCTGTGAAGCTACCGGTTGGTTGGCGGTTGTAGAACAGGACAGAAGAGAGAGGAGACGGGGTATGACTTAAAAACTCGCAGCGGAGAACAATTTATTCTGGAGCGAGCCATGTTTTACAACAGTGCCCCAAGCCACTAGTTTTCTCGTTGTATGAGATCTGATATGTTCACCCTCATAAACGTCAACTTGTTCATATTTGTGAGGAAGTTGTAACCGGAGCCTGAAACGTAAAGATTAAAATATAAAAACTAATCTCTTGTTTTGCTTGGTTATGGAACCGTATCTGTCATCTCAAGGAACAAACATGGATTCAATGAGTTTGAGAATAGGGTGCTCAGAATTTTTGGAACCGATGATGATGAAGTATATTTAAACTTGAGAAATTTCATAGCGAGTAGCTTCATAATTTATATTCTTCAGCAGATATTTATGTTGTGATTAAATTATGACGAGTGAGGTGAGCCTGGCGTATGGTAACATGAGAGAAAGCCATACAAAATTCTAGTTTGAATCCTCTGGTTATGAAAAAGATAACACGAGAAATCTAGGCATAGATGGGAGAATAATAATTGAATTTCTTAAAGATATATTTTTAAGTTGTGGACTGGGTTAATTTAAATCAGGATGGCTGGATTTTACGAACACGATAACGAGTTTTTGGCCTTAAAAAAAGGGCTGGGTATATATTGGATAGCTGAGCGACTATTATCTTCTCAAAAGTTGCTCAGATCCATTGAGTTACTTGCTTGGTAACGTTATCACGTAAATTAAAAAAAAACTTTAAGGAAATTAGGCGTAAACTTATTTGTCTTGTGTCTTTAATTATCGCAGTTATTTCGGAAGTCATATTACTACTTTGAAGAAATGAATATAATTAAATGTGGGTTTTTGCCTTTGAGTTTTCTCAAGACACAAAAAATCGGCCACTTTACAAAAAAAGGTCCTAATATTATGGGAGTTTAAGTGAGAGTGTTCGGTCCAGAAAAATGGAATCGAATGATTTCGTCTCCCGTGGATGGAGCTTGAAATAGGTAATAAGGAGAGGACGGACTGGAGATAAGTACAGGACATTGAGTGGATCGGGTCATATGGAATAGCATCCAGAAGGTCACCAGGGAATTGATGGGAATGGACAAGCTCAGAATTTTTCTTTTCTTTATTATGTTTCGGCCTTTCTCCTGTAATCCCTTTGTGCCACTCAAAATAATGTCGCCCAGTCAGTCAAGTGAACTACAAGAGTCAGTTAGTCTTGCGCTCTGATGCGGTGTGAATCTTCTGAAAGATTTTAATAATCTGTTTCCATCCTGAATGTGTTTCGTTTCAGGCAATAAATTCTTATTTGAAAATTTTCGGTCGTTCGGATACAAAATTCCTTATTAGACCATCGCGCTTGTGGGAAACGGTAATCGTCTTTACGAAATTTCGCTTTACAAAGTCGTTCAAGGAATGCAATTATTCCTTTTGATGGCAGTAGTTTTATATTCTTGTTTAATTAGTTTAAATGTTACTGGGTCGAAATAAAAAAGGGGACTGAATAAATGAGTACACGAGAACATGGCCTGATCCATTTCCAAAGACACGACAGCTGGATAGATAAGCAACTGTGCAGTACGCAGTTTACAGTTAAGTCTCATTGTGAACTTACTCTTGGCTTCTGTGCGGCGTGCTTTAAGGGAGTGTGTTGGAAGTATTTTTGAAAGTACACTTGCTTGTTCCTTGTTGTCTCAGATGGTTGTTTGCTTTGGTCTCAAAACGAAATGAAATCTATCTGGACATTGAGGATGTAAGAAATAGCTTAGAGCGGGGACTGAATTAATACTGGACAGTTCACTTTTAGAGGAAATCGGAGAACGGAAATGTTTTATAATGGAAACTTATCATGTTTCTCTTATGAAAATAAATTATACCGTATTTCGACGAATATTTCTTTTATAGAAATAAAAATAAAGTTTCATGATATTAAAACTGTCACTATGTTAAAATATACGTGAATTTGCGCTATGAGAGAGTTCGCGTATTATTTACAGTTTAGTAGATACATTGGTGAAAAGTATTTAACTGTGTTTAAGTTGAGTTATTGGACCTGAGTACTTGAGAAGCTGATAGTCTATCAGCTGGTGAAGATAATTTCCGTTTTTTATAGTTAATTACTGAGACAACACGTTTAGGATTCGGGTAGGAAAAAAAATAATGCCTTCACGATTGGAAATGGAGACGGTATGTTCCTCCGTAACGTTGGTTATCTACCTATGGGTTTGCACGGTGTAACAACCCAGGAGGCTAACATCGACGTTTTGGCGTGCCTTCTGTCTTATTCCATCACTCGTGAATCGCTGTGAAATAACTTACATGACACGTGATAAGCAGACACTAGCTCTTGGGATTATGTTCTTGGAATGAAGATTACGTGTAATGATTTTCAGACATCCACCCTTTGCCTTTCTCTCTCGTTCGCCCTATCTCCACCCCCTTTTTGCAAAGCTCTTGAGTCCATGAACACAGCTGTGCGGAGTTAGTAGAAAAAGAGATTTGACAGTGATTTCATACTATTTAAATGAAATGAAGTCCCTCTGGCTTGTTTGTGTCTTCTATTGTATTCCTCTGTGTCTTCCTGGTAGAGGCTGGCAGGATGCTGTCTGCATCCGCCGTGACTTGTATTTCATGGATTTTTCAATTTGTCAGCTCGTCCTTCGCCTTTCTCTCATCTCCTCCTTCTCTTATCCTATGCATCTTATTCTTGTTTCGTGTGTGCTATCTATCCTATTTGTTCTTTAACATCCCATATTTGTGTTGCGAGGAATGCTTATTTCGCTTTTAGAGATACGCAGAGTAAGAGCTTATACCCTTAAAAGCCCGTGGTGTGATGGGAATGGACAAGCTCAGAATTTTTCTTTTCTTTATTATGTTTCGGCCTTTCTCCTGTAATCCCTTTGTGCCACTCAAAATAATGTCGCCCAGTCAGTCAAGTGAACTACAAGAGTCAGTTAGTCTTGCGCTCTGATGCGGTGTGAATCTTCTGAAAGATTTTAATAATCTGTTTCCATCCTGAATGTGTTTCGTTTCAGGCAATAAATTCTTATTTGAAAATTTTCGGTCGTTCGGATACAAAATTCCTTATTAGACCATCGCGCTTGTGGGAAACGGTAATCGTCTTTACGAAATTTCGCTTTACAAAGTCGTTCAAGGAATGCAATTATTCCTTTTGATGGCAGTAGTTTTATATTCTTGTTTAATTAGTTTAAATGTTACTGGGTCGAAATAAAAAAGGGGACTGAATAAATGAGTACACGAGAACATGGCCTGATCCATTTCCAAAGACACGACAGCTGGATAGATAAGCAACTGTGCAGTACGCAGTTTACAGTTAAGTCTCATTGTGAACTTACTCTTGGCTTCTGTGCGGCGTGCTTTAAGGGAGTGTGTTGGAAGTATTTTTGAAAGTACACTTGCTTGTTCCTTGTTGTCTCAGATGGTTGTTTGCTTTGGTCTCAAAACGAAATGAAATCTATCTGGACATTGAGGATGTAAGAAATAGCTTAGAGCGGGGACTGAATTAATACTGGACAGTTCACTTTTAGAGGAAATCGGAGAACGGAAATGTTTTATAATGGAAACTTATCATGTTTCTCTTATGAAAATAAATTATACCGTATTTCGACGAATATTTCTTTTATAGAAATAAAAATAAAGTTTCATGATATTAAAACTGTCACTATGTTAAAATATACGTGAATTTGCGCTATGAGAGAGTTCGCGTATTATTTACAGTTTAGTAGATACATTGGTGAAAAGTATTTAACTGTGTTTAAGTTGAGTTATTGGACCTGAGTACTTGAGAAGCTGATAGTCTATCAGCTGGTGAAGATAATTTCCGTTTTTTATAGTTAATTACTGAGACAACACGTTTAGGATTCGGGTAGGAAAAAAAATAATGCCTTCACGATTGGAAATGGAGACGGTATGTTCCTCCGTAACGTTGGTTATCTACCTATGGGTTTGCACGGTGTAACAACCCAGGAGGCTAACATCGACGTTTTGGCGTGCCTTCTGTCTTATTCCATCACTCGTGAATCGCTGTGAAATAACTTACATGACACGTGATAAGCAGACACTAGCTCTTGGGATTATGTTCTTGGAATGAAGATTACGTGTAATGATTTTCAGACATCCACCCTTTGCCTTTCTCTCTCGTTCGCCCTATCTCCACCCCCTTTTTGCAAAGCTCTTGAGTCCATGAACACAGCTGTGCGGAGTTAGTAGAAAAAGAGATTTGACAGTGATTTCATACTATTTAAATGAAATGAAGTCCCTCTGGCTTGTTTGTGTCTTCTATTGTATTCCTCTGTGTCTTCCTGGTAGAGGCTGGCAGGATGCTGTCTGCATCCGCCGTGACTT